TGACGCTAACTTAGAATTTGGCAAAAAGACAATACCTTATCATGACTGTTTTTAATATTTAATTTTTAATTTAATAACCCTTTATTTACCCAATATAACTGCTGTTTTCGGGAACGTGCAACATATGCAGCACAAAATGTGTGCAAACGCTGAGAAATAGAAAGTCTTGTTAATAACAGTACATTTCCGCCTAGTCAGACTAATGATTTTAAATTGTTAACCGCCCTCTGGTCATAGTTCAGCAGATTTCACAATATTTTAAAATCAGTCGTCCCGTATGAAAGCCAGAGTTAACAAATGACATTTGAATCAGCCGCTGTGATCGAGCACCATAATGGATTAAATAGCCCTGACATTTCAACACATGCGCCACATTTTGCCTCTCATCTGTCACTGTTAGACCACATGACCTCTGTGCTTTTAATCTCTCTCTCTCTCTCTCTCTCTCTCTCTCTCTCTCTCTCTCTCTCTCTCTCTCTCTCTCTCTCTCTCTCTCTCTCTCTCTCTCTCTCTCTCTCTCTCTTTCTCTAAGATGGTAATGTCCAGCTCATTTGTATGCTGTCCTAGTCTGAGTATCTTGCTGGTGGCTGGAGCCAAAGTTGTGGCATCAGATTGATTTGAATAGATATTATAGTGAATCTCACAAAACTGTCAACATCTCTCGGTCGTATTTCATAAGAAATATTGCTCAGAGACATTATTACATCACAATTAATCATTACATCCGTCCGTCCATCCGTCCTTCCTTCCTGTAGACCGGAGAGTGTTTGGCAATCTTTCACCTAACAATCATTAGTTTTGCAATTACACTTGTTGCACAGAAATGACTTATTTAAAAATAGGGTAAACATAGCCTTCATTTATTTTCTGCAAAACATTTATTTATTTCATTCATTTTTCTCATACAATAAAACATTTTAAACCTCAGTCACGAAAATAATGGCACGATGCCAAAACTCTTAATCTCAGGCTATTACTTTATGCAAACTATTTTGGGGTGCACACTGCAAAGTGACTTGTTTTTGTGAGATTCATATTTCATACTGTATACTGTGCATTTGGAATATATACCTTTTTAAACTGCATAAGTATCACACACATAGTGCAGGATCTGTGGGTCACAAACTTTGGTGAGTGTCATGCAGGAAGGTGAGGCAGATGGGGAAGGCAAAATCTACCATCAACCTTCATCTGTGTTGCCTTGAGAAAAAGAGGGAGAGCAATGCCTGCCTTCCCTCTCTCTCTCTCTTTCGTCTCAGTACAGAGAGAGTCAGGGAAGCAGCAAGGAAAGAGGAACGGAGAGGCAAGACCAGATCTGGAAGAATACCTTTGCAATAGCAGATCTGAAAGTTTGAACTCCAGCTGAATACAAATGAGGATGGCCTGTGTTGAGGCAGGCACAGTTAGAGAAACTCACACACACTTCACGTCAGGGTCCTGATCACCATGTTGGGGTTTAGTTTTCAATAACAAGTGATTATTACACAGCCGTAAATAAATAAATAAATGGACATGAAATATTGATTGGATTTTAAATGAGTTTATTATGTGAGAAGAAAGAGTGTGCAGAGTGATACGAGAGACTTGAAACTAGCACAGCTGTGTTGGAAATCATTTTCCTGGACGATGCTCAATTATACAGTTTAGCGTGCACAAATATTTTGGAATGAAAATGATTTTTAATAAATATTCAGGTCCGAAATATCTGTATGTGGCTCTGAGCATCTTATTTAGTAATCAATTACATTTATATAATGACATCTGGGTATTTTGGAGCGTAAACATTTTCCATAGGGATAGTTCTATGAAGATATATACAGTGTGATGCCATAAAGAATCGCATGCGCAGGGTAAGATTTGTGAAAGTGTACATAAGATTGCAAGCGTAAATTAAATGTGCATGCGCAAGAGAAGATTTATATAAGCGTAAATCGCCTTTCAAGTGTAAGAAAAAATATATTTGCAGAATTTTACTGTAATTCATGTATTGTGAAGCTGCAGCTTCATGCTAAAGCAAAATAAATATGATCTTTATTCTTCTGACTTCTATTTTTTTACACTTTTGTTTTTTTCGTACCATTTCGGCAGCGAGAACGATGCTGAGCCAAATGAAGATAAAGATGTGCTCTGGCAACTGGTGTGATTATTGAACCAATAAGAGTAAAACGAGAGTCAGCGAGAAGCTCATTTGATTGGCTACATGAAGGTGGACCCGCCCTCCTCTTTGCACTTGCAAAACTCAATGAGTGAGAGAATCGTGCCAAAACAGCTAAAAGTAAGACGCAACTGTACAAATCGTGTTATTTCGGGAACTTTTTTGCTCTCATGTACACAATAAGTCATTTAGACATTTGCAATTGCAACAGTTTATTTTTTTACACAAAGGTTGATTTTACACGGTCAATTTGTTTTGCAGTTCCTGACTCTGTTGATTTCGGTTGCAAATTGCTGTTCACAGGCTTGCAATGCTTTTGCCAAGGGGGTAATCCACCAGCCGGAAACTGAAGTTTCCCCGGGCGCCGCCATTGGCTAACAAGCCTTCACCTGCTGTTAGCATCCCATTGACTCCCATTCATTTTTGCGTCACTTTGACAGCGAATAACTTTACATCTGAGACGTTTAAAGACTCTATTTGTCCATTATTTATTTCTAAAGAAACACGACAATGTATAAAATGCTCCATTACCTTGTATCTTACGTTGTGGCCCCGTAGAAGCAGTTTTTGTAAAAATAGGCTAACGATTGCGTCATAACACGCGACTCTCTGTCGCATAGAAGAGAAATGACCGTAAAGACAGATGTGGAAGCTCACGCGCAATCGGGGGACGTGGAGGCATAAAGTCAAGGGAGAAGCCCATAGAGAGTCATAAAGTTGCTCCTGCTGCGAGCTCATTAACAGCTAATACTCACGATCTCCGGCTCTGTCAGATTCAGAAGGGAATGATTCAGATTCCTCTTGGCACAGCTACTAGAAGACGTACAACTGTCAGACAGGTTGCTCAAGTCACAACTACGTCTTCAAGCTCAGTTTGAGCATGCGCAGTGCGCTTGGCAATCAGGAAGTGAGTGCTTCTATTTGACTTCACTTTTCTCCATTGAAGTCTATGGGGTCGCTGTGTCCATTTCTTTTACTGTCTATGGCTTTTGCCCGTATTTGTGCGGAAAAAAAACGTGTCAAAAGTGTAGGCTAAGCGTGGAAAAATGGAAGTCAGAAGAATACAGATCATATTTATTTTGCGTTAGCATGAAGCTGCAGCTTCACAATACATGAATTACACCACTTGAAAGGCGATTTACACATTTACAAATCTTCTCTTGCACATGCAAATTTAATTTACGCTTGCAATCTTATGTACACTTTCACAAATCTTACCCTGCGCATGCGATTCTTTATGGCATCATATTATCTTCATAATAGTTCACCCAAAAATGAAAATGTTGTCATCATTTTCTCACCCTCAAGTTGTTCCAAACCTGTATGAGTTTCTTTCTTCTGTTGAACACTAGCCATTGACTAGCCATTGACTAACTTCCATAGAAGGAAAACAAATATATGCAAGTCAATGGGTGCCGTCAACTATCTGGTTACCAACATTCTTAAAATATAATCTATTGTGTTCAACAGAAAAATAAACTCATACAGGTTTGGAACAACATGAGGGTGAGTAAATGATGACTAAACTAACCCTTTAAATGTTTACATGTAAACATCTGTCTTTTATATATCACCAGCCAGACATTTTTAAAGTAAGAGCTACTTGCAAGTTTACACTGATTTTGCGTATTGTTTGAAACATAAATTAAAGCAGGCTATTTGTGGTTGATTATATATGATTATTCAAAGATGAATACATTTTATTTGAATTTGATGAATGAAAATAAATGTAGAACTGAAATGGCTGACACAAAACTCTCGTGAAAACAAAACAGTACACTAATTTTTTGTAGACTAATTGAGACATACGGTGCTGACGCTTTAATGAGGGTTCTTATGACTGCAATCAAAACATCCACATGAAATTTGATTTTAGTGCTGAAATGATTTTAATTAGGGAAATCAAGCTGTCCATAATTACAGGATCAACAGAGGTCTCTCTCCTCTGTGTCAGAAAGCCACATGATGAATCAGGACTTCATTAGCAGAAATATTACAGTTGCTAAACACAAAGAAAACGGTAAAACTCCCTCAAAATGTTCCCTCAAAAAACTTTTTAATAACCCCTCACAAGCTCACATTCTTAGCCAAAAATACCCCAACACCCGTCCTGAGCTCCAGCTATTCCTTTCACTGTTTTAACACTGTCATTTGGGTTTTGAAGGTTATGTTTTTGTCTATGCTTGCATGTAATTGTATTATTGTGCAATAATAATTCAGCATTAAATACGAATGTAGGCTATACGACATTTATTTTTAGGCTATACGACATTTATTTTTAGGCTAATTAAATTTGTCCAATTACATCATGTTGTTTTTTGTATTATTATTGTCGTTGTTTCTATGTTGTAATCATTAAATGGTTGTAACCATGTCGTAACAAAAAAGATTATGCTGTCTTCTCGTGCTATTGGAATGATCGTAAATAGTTTCCTTTCCTAGTTGAAATTTGGACATGAACGCCCTCTCAAGTCGGATTTACCACTGGGAACCTCGGGGTACGAAACTTCCCAGGAGGACTTGAACGCACCAAGTTTGATACCCAAGTTCCCGAGTTGGGCGTGCCATAAACTTGAAATTCTAGGATGGTAATTCAGCAAGTTATCTAGATTGTTGTCAGTGAATTGGACGCTAAATATCATTTTGGCTTTAATAAGATTTTCTCCAAAATAGGCAAGAATAAACCTGGCGTCCTCCTGTTCTTTCCGACAACAAAGCACTTGAATGTCACGACTTCAGAAAGTTGACAGTAGGGAATATCCGATAGCAGAGCACATGAAGGCTGACAGCTCTTAATGCACGAGCACCTGCGCATGCCCGCTAGGCGGCCTACCTAGATAAACTCTCGCGAGACGCGTTGCTATAACGACAGATGTACACAGTTTCCACAAGAAGTATTTCGCGAGGACGATGTGTTAAGGTGAGTGCTTTAAAAACCTGCGAATTTTTGATAACGTATTGTTGGTAAAGTATCTTTTAACTCTGTACAGTGAGTGCTGCAGCTCTCACCTTTGTTTTGGAAAGCTCTTATAATCATTCTAACGCCCATATGTGACTGAAACAAGAATGAGAACATATCAGCTTTCTCTCTTTTAGCTGTAACGTTAGCTAACGTTAATTTATTTCATCTTAAATGGCTAATAAGCAGGAAACTACAAAACGGGAAGGTAACGTTACTGTGGTAATATCATGTCGTATTCTTTGACGTGTCTTTGAGTTCCATGATTACTTACAGTATGTCAAAAGTTTACAAACTGGCTCTAACATGGTTCTTTAGCTAGATAGCATGGTGGTGCCATGGTATTCTTTGGCATACAATACCTTTGAGTGCCAATTTATGTCAATTGTTTGTAATAACACAATGACACTATCATGGTTGTTATAAATGCCATTTTATGTCAAATGTTTGCAATAACAAAATGGCACTACCATGGTTATTATAGCCTGTTATTCTTTTAAGTACATTGGAGTAACGTAGCATTTAAATACCGTTTTATATAAATAAATAGCAATGATACCATCACCGCACCATGGTACCAATACAGTTCTTTTTTTTTTTTTTTAAAGGTTTGCTATACTGTTCATTTCATTGGCCTTTTGTGTAGGTTAATTCAGTGAAATTTGTCCTATTCTGTGCTGTTTGTTTCTCACTCAGAACTCCTTTTTTCCTCAGAACACTTCAGTGGAAATTACAGCCTGTGTGAAGCTTACAGTCTGATCAGAGAGCACCATGAATTTAAACAACTTTGTGGTACTTCCCAGCAAGCCCAAGTCAATGAAGTTAAATGTCAGGTTTGAACAGTCGGCTCCCTTGAGTTGCTTTTCACGCTTCAGATTTTTCACATTATTAGCACATAACACGTCGCTTTTGCAAATGGCGGCGCTCCAAATATTTAAAGTAGTCTGTTCAAAATAACATGATTTTGTGTATTCAGTTGAATGATTGTCTAAAGCAGACTGACACAAATAAAACAAGTCAGGGTCACATTGGTTTGTAAGTAACCATGTAGTATATCCAATTGTATATTTCTGTGTATGTTTTTCCTAGGAATCTCCGGGAATTGCGTTTGGAAACAGTGCAGCTGGATCAACATGCCAAGGAGATGGAGAGCAGACTGGAGGAGCTCAAACAGCGTATGAATCAGGAGAAAGAGGAGAGGGAGTGAGTAAAATAGGGAGGGGAGGGACAGCTTGTTGAATTAATGAATGGGTGAGTAGATGAATAAATTAACGAGCCAAACAATGACTGTGACAGAGAGCGTTGAGATAAAAGAGAAAATGTAAACAATGAAACGGTGATGAATAAAATGAAAAACATAGGAAGAGATTGCAAGTGAAAGAGAGAATGAGAGATTATGAGGGTAGGTGTGGAGACAAAGACAGAGGAATTCAAACGAATAATTCACTGGTTCATTAATATTCATTATTATTCTGTTCATGTTTTTTTCACCCTCCCAAAACTTGTATGCAGCTGTTTTTCTACCTTGATTTTTTTACTAGTTTTTTCCTCATACAGTGACAGTTTACAGTGACCATGGCTGTCAAACTCCAAAGAATAAAAAAAGAAACGACAAAATCTCCATTTACATTTACATTTACTGTGTGCACTTGGCAGACACTTTTATCCAAAGGAACTTACCTTGCTTAGACCTACATTTTTTTAACAGTTCATGCTTTCCCTGGGAATCGAACCCATGACATTGGTGTTGCGAGCACCATGCTCTACTTTTCGAACTTTGTGAAGAGTAGAAGAGTAATTAACATCTTACATTTGGGTCTTTTACACAGAGCTATCGTGTGACTTCAGAAGACTTGAAATATAGGGCAGGAGTAGGGTTGGGTATCGTTTGGGTTTTATCCGATTCCAGTACCTACTCGGTATTTTTTAAACGGTTCCGGTGCTTAAACGGTTCTTAAATCGGTACTTAAGAAAATGAAACCGCACACACTTTATCAAAAAATAATACCCTTTAATTTACAGGGCCAAACTGGACACAATATTAACTTAAATCTTTAAATAATATAAATACAAGTAACATATGGTAATAATAAAACCAATATAAAATAAAAATTCATATTTACATAATATCAAATGAAACAATATTGTATCAAACAATGTAATAATACTGGAGATTAATAGAGATTTACTAGCAGGCAGAGCTGCCAACTCTCACGCATTGACCGTGAGACTCACGCAAATGACCCTTTTCACACAGAAAAATCGCGGACAAAGAGGACACTGACAGACAAGACAGAGAAGGTTACTTTTGATATGGAACAAATCCACAGCTGTCAGATTCTGTCAATATTTTTACGAGATTCACACAATAAATAACGTTTTGGCTCTTTGAAATGTGACAGATCGCTGTAGCGCGTCAGTTCAAACGGCACGTGATACAGCAGCCTACAAATACAAATCCACTGCTTCTTAGCTACGCAGCGTTGAGTGAACCTATGAAAGAGAACATCTCTGGTTGGTGTAACATATCTCTCAATAGGGAACGGGACGCAGCCAAGCTCCTCGCGCTGCCGACCAGCTTCCTTTTTCGGCAGAGAAATCTGAGGAGCAGATGGCGCGCGCGCGACAGCATAGTATGACGACGTAAGTGCGTCGATGCGGCGCCATCAGCCAATGAATTGGCTTGATTCTATATGGATTCAGACTATCGGCACACCCAGAGGGCGTTCTGACACGTAATTTTACACGTGAAATGCAGCCAAACCTTGCGAGAAAGAGCGCGCATGCGAGACAGAAGAAACTGTGCTCCAAACTGTGTAGCACACGCACGGCGGAGAGAGAGAGAGCGAGCGAGAGACCTTGTGTGTGTGCGCGTGTGTGCCTAATGAAGTTAGGCACCGAAATCAGGCACCGAAATTTTCTTTCTTATTCGGTCTGGTTACTACCGTTTACGTCGGAACCGGTTCCCTATTGGCACCGAGTTTCGGTACCCAACCCTAGGCAGGAGTCATATGGTCTATACCGTATTTATGTTTTTTTAATAGAATTTGACTTTTCTGGTCACTATGAACCGCACATGGATATCAAGTTGACGTAGCTGGATTTACTTATCTAAATAAAAAAAATACATAAAATAAAAAAATGATGTAATTTTTACCATTTTAATTAAGATGATATTAAAGACTTTTTATTCTTATTGCGGGCACCCTGGAAGTTTGCAGAGGCACCCTATTGGGCCCTTGCTCCCTGTTTGAGAACCGCTGGTTTATTATACTGCCTTGATTCAGAATATTCCTATAATATAAGGGGAATTGGTCTAAAACACTGCATTCACATAGCAATTAAATATGGCCTAAATCTGATTTTTTTTCCTCGCATAAGACGCAGAAATAAAGTGCATATCAGTATTTTTTGCAATGTGACTTTGTAAATATACATTAATCTAACTTGACATTTGTCATAAAATGTCAGTCCATTAAAACCCCTTGATAGGCAGGGATCACTGGTGATCCCGGATTAGTGTTGTTCAAAATTCATTACTTGTCAAAACATCTCACTCTTACTTGATCTGGACGAACTCAGCATCGTAAGAAAGGTTGAAGTCTACAGCTTCGATGTTTGACCACTGTTTATGATTTAACTGGTTTGCAGTGATATTAATTTCTTAATTTATGCCAGGAGTGCAAAATAATTCATCTGTAATGTTCGTTATTTTGAATAGAAATCATCACTCATAAAACATTAATTCTCGTGTTCTCCGGTTTATTTGTGTTCAAATACATACAATATACAGCATCCGCCAGGGCTATTAGTCCAATGGTGCGCATATTTGAAGAAATGATTAATAATTATCACATGCTAGTAAAATATTTCTTCATAAAGAATAACATTTCTATTCATTTACCACTGAAATGTGCGATCTAAAGAGCTCAGACAGCGAACGGAGCGAGATGTGTGTCTTCTCTTCCTGAATCGCGTCACATTTGACCTCAAAGCTATATCATTCGCTGTACAGCTGTCAATCATCTCACGTGGTCCAGCGTGACCTCTTCTGCATGACGCGTCATTTGTACACTTCCTCATACTGGACATCCGTGATAACAAAGCGAAACTGACATCTCTTCACCCGAAACAAGGAACTAATAAATGCACGATTGAAATATTATGTGTTTTGTGTTTGATTTTCGTGCGATTTGGGGTTTTCATATCAATACAGAATGTTTACAGAATGCATATGCTAGGAAATGCTAGCCCATAGCTTCATCTGAAATGCTAAATATAACATATTTCAAAATCTTTTCATGACTTGAAACCATTTTAATCCGCGACCGGCATATGATACAAATACTAGATGTTGTTTTAAAGTGAACTTTGAATAAAAGTGTAATATTAATACATTAAATTGTGTCATGTAGCTCGAGGCTACTTGTGCTAATGCACCTGCTTGCAGAAGCTATTCCATTTCATACAATCATTTAAAAAAAAAAAAATTCGCATTTAAAGTTCCAAGAATTGTTTGTTTTCTAACAAGACTTAATATAATAGATGGATTGATCATGTAGGGTGGGATCAGAGAGGTTTAGATGGCCAATATAGGCTATAATGGCTGAATTCAAACAAAAGAATAAGGATAAAAGAATAATGAAGATTAAGTCTCATACCGGCATAGGTGTGAAAGGTTGGTCGATTAAATGAAAAGAACATGAATGGGCCAGTTCTCCTCGCCAGACATTAGTCAGAGACTGTAAATGGGTGTTTACAGGGCAATAAAATATTTGATGAGAATCTTATATTAGCATCCTATAAAACTTCTCTAAACTCTCTCCTGACATGGTTTCACAATAGGCTTAATAAAATGCATAATTTTAGAAATATCATCCTCAGATTTTAAATGAAGCATGACCACAATTGTGGCTACACTTTAGTTGTGGTTTCAAGTTGCTATCCTAAATTCACATAATATTTTTATACATTTAATAAATATGTTCTTAATATTTGTTGTTTTTGTTTTTATGTTTGAGCTTATATATCTCAATATTAATAACAGTCTGATTAATTTTGAGTCTTGAAATGTAAACTCTCAAGGGTTGGCTTTCTAAATATATGTTGGTTATGTGTCTATTCAGAATGACTTAAGAGCAGCAACCTTTTTATTTTGGGTATGTCATGAATGCTTCACTTGCCAAAATTGGGGCCGACTAGTAAGGGGTTAAACCCAGTGCATGCAGTACATGCTTTCTCAAGGGTATGGGTCACCTACTAAGTGCAGTGCCTTGCAGAAACACTCTGACATATAGTTGTCATAAGGTTGCCAAAGACATCCTAAAGTTCTCAGAGAAGACATTATGTTCCCAGCACTCCTTGTTCCAATTGTACATCCATACACTCCTGTTCTGTCTATGTATGTGTGGGTTAGTTTAGGACCAGGATCTGATATGAGCAACATTTAAAAATTTGTGTAAACGACTGGCTACCTTTTGATACTTTTGAAACAGTACGTACATACAGGTATGCGAGTATATGTAGCCAAGATAGAGAAGAAGTGGAAATGGAGTGACAGAGATGACATTAGCTTTAAAATCTGATCGGCACATGGATTATGCAGCTCCTGGCCTGCTCTGCAGGCAATCTCGGGTGATGGTTTGACTTCTTAGCGAACTGGTTTGATGGAATCAGCATAGCCATCGAGTGGAAGGAAATTGAGTCATCTCGGCTCCAGCAGCTCTGCTCTCGCTGCACATCCATGCTTGTCTTCCCATTTCTTCCAAACAAATTAAGATTAAGTAGGACCCTATGCCAAAACGAGGAAGGCAGGAAATTAGTTTTCTGTCAAAATAAAAGAATAGGAAAAAAATAAAATCAGTAGTTATTAATTTGATGTCTCTCTCTCTCTTTCTCTTCTCAGCCCGGCCCCTTTCCTACAGCTCTTCATTAATAACACTAAAATGTGACCTGTTGAGGTCCACCTCATGAATTTATAGTGGCGGCCGTTTTAGGTGTACGTATCAGCTCATAACTCAACAGGGGAGGGAAACACTACAGTAATGAGGTAGATGCAGTGAATACATCATATTCCCATATATACTACCAAACAAACGCAAACATACACATGAAGTCGGTCAGGAAGAATGATGTTGAGGTAGCGTGATGAATGAATTTCAGGATGAATTATGTTGAGATAGCGTGAAGAATTAACATTATCTGTAATTTAACATATTTGTGCCTGGAAAGCGGATATATCAGCGAGGCGGAAAGCCAAACGGAGACAATTGCATGAAGCTATACCCGCGAGTTCTTCACAGGGATGGACGGCGCCATTTGCACCTGTATCAATAACACAAGGCAGCACTTTCCCGAAAATCAGATGAAGGAATGCAGCTTGAATGCAGCTATAGACTAGATGTCTGTGAGATCTGGGCTGCGTACCGGAACTGTCATATTAAGGAATGTAAGCGGTACCATATCTAAATTACGACTAGCTCCATACGGACGTTTTAAAATAAAACTGTTGTAGATTACCTCTTATCGGTGGCCATTAATCAAAGCAGAACTTCTGTTGCGGGTGCCATGCTGGGAATGGTTGATGTTATCTTCCTCCATGCTCAACCTGCTCGCTGTTTATTGCATTGAAGGCAGAGGACTAAAGGGCTACAGGTGAATTCATAAGAGTAGATGAGAGTCGATAGGCACTGGCCTTGTGCTTGGTGTAAGCTGTGCTTTCAAAGTGAGCCTTTTTTAATACTTTATCCTTTCAGAGCTGGTCATTAGTATACACTATCATTTAGAAGTTTGGGGTCAGTACACATTTTTAATTTTAAAGAAATGAATACTTTTAATCAACAAGGATGCATTAAATTGACCAAAAATTACATTTATAATTTTACAAAAGATTTCTACTCTCACCTAAAGGATTATTAGGAACACCTGTTCAATTTCTCATTAATGCAATTATCTAATCAACTAATCACATGGCAGTTGCTTCAATGCATTTAGGGGTGTGGTCCTGGTCAAGACAATCTCCTGAACTCCAAACTGAGTGTCAGAATGGGAAAGAAAGGTGATTTAAGCTATTTTGAGCGTGGCATGGTTGTTGGTGCCAGACGGGCCGGTCTGAGTATTTCACAATCTGCTCAGTTACTGGGATTTTCACGCACAACCATTTCTAGGGTTTACAAAGAATGGTGTGAAAAGGGAAAAACATCCAGTATGCGGCAGTCCTGTGGGCGAAAATGCCTTGTTGATGCTAGAGGTCAGAGGAGAATGGGCCGACTGATTCAAGCTGATAGAAGAGCAACTTTGACTGAAATAACCACTAGTTACAACCGAGGTATGCAGCAAAGCATTTGTGAAGCCACAACAAGCACAACCTTGAGGCGGATGGGCTACAACAGCAGAAGACCCCACCGGGTACCACTCATCTCCACTACAAATAGGAAAAAGAGGCTACAATTGGCAAGAGCTCACCAAAATTGGACAGTTGAAGACTGGAAAAATGTTGCCTGGTCTGATGAGTTTCGATGTCTGTTGAGACATTCAGATGGTAGAGTCAGAATTTGGCATAAACAGAATGTGAACATGGATCCATCATGCCTTGTTACCGCTGTGCAGGCTGGTGGTGGTGGTGTAATGGTGTGGGGGATGTTTTCTTGGCACACTTTAGGCCCCTTAGTGCCAATTGGGCATCGTTTAAATGCCACGGCCTACCTGAGCATTGTTTCTGACCATGTCCATCCCTTTATGGCCACCATGTACCCATCCTCTGGCCCCCACAGTCACCAGATCTCAACCCAAAAGAGCATCTTTGGGATGTGGTGGAACGGGAGCTTCGTGCCCTGGATGTGCATCCCACAAATCTCCATCAACTGCAAGATGCTATCCTATCAATATGGGCCAACATTTCTAAAGAATGCTTTCAGCACCTTGTTGAATCTTGTTGTTCTGAAGGCGAAAGGGGGTCAAACACAGTATTAGTAAGTATGGTGTTCCTAATAATCCTTTAGGTGAGTGTATATCAATTAAATGCTGTTCTTATTAACTTTGTATTTATCAAAGAATCTGGAAAAATTGTGAAATGTGGAAAAAAACTGTTTTCAACATTGGTAATAATAAGAAATGCTTCTTGAGCAGAAAATCAGCATATTAGAATGATTTCTGAAGGATCATGTGACACTGAAGACTGGAGAGAATTCAGCTTTGCCTTCACAAGAATAAATTACATTTTAGTTTGATTTAACACAAGGTTAAATGTGCAGTAGTTTAACCTCTCACCTGTCCCACTACCGCCACACAATGTACTCGAGTAGCAGAGGAGTTGGTTGTCTGTGACCCTGACAGGAGATAAGTGTTTGTCTTGTTGGTTGGCACTCAGTGTGTGCGCCCGATGGTAATCCGCCAGTTGTTAGCACAACTGCCACGTTGCTTGTGCGTTTCCCTATAATGCTGACAGGCAGGCTTGAGCGCGGTTAATCCCCATCCCAAACGCCCGTCTCCATCAGACTGATAAAGGCCAGCACATAAACAGCCCTTAATGAGAGTGGACAGCACGCAGAGGAAGTGTCCTCTCTCCCTGCTGGCCCCTTCCAAAGTCTCTGACTTTCTCAGTCTTTAATAACATGAGATGGATTTAAGTGTAGCTGCTGCGCTGTGTATTTTTAGCATGATTAGGCATGATCTATTCATGACTTTTCCTATTGCTCAAATTAGGGTTAGGTATTTAAGATGTTCCCAAAGGGACCACCTCTATAGTAGTGTGCTGTAAATCACTTTGACAAATTAGTAAATTAATGATTCGTAAAAACTCAAACACAAGTGCCTACCCTACTTCCGCTGAACACATTGAGCTCAAGCATTTCTGTGGTAAAGTCACATGACCTGTCACCGAGTACACATTCCTCTGGGATTTTGATATTTAAACAGTCTCTTTTTTTCAGGATTTTTCAGGCAGCCATCCAAACAGTTTCACGACCTTGAAGTGGCACCAGCATGAGAGAAAGATACATTTCAAGAGCACGGTTTCCTCTTTACTTGAAAAATTATATTGTACAAGCAGACACACATAGCATACATTTCCATCCTTTGAACACACTCCGGCTTGCGGCTCTACGCCAACATGACAGCCCACCCTAAACAAACGGCCTCCCCCGCAATCACACCGTGAATTATTTAGACTGTTGATTTGATGTGGCAACCAAAACAACAAATCAGAAAACAAATGAAGTCGACCTCCGTCTGTGTATCTGTGTGAATTATGTAGGGCAAAAGCTTTAATGTACTGTTTGTGTTTGTTTTTCATCATTTGATATGTGCTTAATTAAAAGTTACCAATCAGCAAGTGTTCTTGTTTTTTCTTAGTTTTTTCTTTATAAATTGACATTCCAAAGAAAATATGGTGATTGTCTGTGTGAAAGTCACCCCCACAATGCTAGAATGGTGTGGATAGTTACCAGGGCGTTGCTAAGGTGTTCTGAGTGGTTGCTAGGTCGTTGCTTACTGGCTCAAGTCAAAAGAGATATGGCTCCTTTAAGTCTGTGAAATTTTCCGCCCGTTTTATCTTCTGTCAAGCGAAAATTGTATGTTTGATTTGCTGTCCGTAGCACATGTTGAAAAGTTAAGCACTGGATTTTAATACTTAAGGCTAAGGGTTTTTCAAAAAGTAATCGTAAGTACTATAAATTCTGCAGTTCTGTGCTGAACTGAGCAACTTTCTGTGATATTTCCACGCAGGAAGATGGGAGCTTCTCGCTGGCATTCTGCACAGGCTCTTGGCCCTGCGTTTCAAAGAGTCAAGACGAACAAGGAAAACGCACCTCGCAGAGTAAGTCTTTTCTTATCAGACATCATCTTTTCATGCTAACACACAAAAAAACTCTGTCAGCCTGTCCATCTGTTTAAGATATCCAGTCTCAATCAGGACGACTTCACCTTCATTCATGCCAGAAATGGTCCAAATCCTTGGACGCACTTTCTAGAATTAACTGCTTGAACGATTCACTGGTGGATTTGGTGATAATGTGGTGTTTGAAATATGTTGTTTCGGGCAGCTCTCTCCAGGCAAGATGAAGATTAGAGTGCTGAAGGATGAGTCTGTGCCAGGTGGGTGGACTGGAATCTGAAATGTGTTTTGAACTCCTTTTTTTTCTCAAATAGATCACATGGACACTAGTATAGTAAAGTATTAGCTTTATACCCCCTTCTTTTTCTGTGCGAGAACTCATTTCAGAATGGTACGATTCAAAATTGTCTTTAACTCTGTTCCAAAGTCTAGTTAGCTAACTAACTATTTCATCACACAAAGCTTGTTCCAAACAATAGACAGCATATTAAAGCAACACTAAGTAAGATTTTTTACCTTAAAATAATGTTTCCAAAATCGTTTCAGTGGTTCATCAAGTCGTAACAGGGTGAAATGCACTTATGCCTCCGCTTTGCAGTCCTATATCTGCTATAACCACGCTATGAAAGATTGCCAGATCAGGTCGCGTTTCTGTAGTTTTAATGAGACATAAGAAAACTACAAATTTGACTTGCTTTACGTCAAGCGTTACAATAGTCGGTAACGCTTCCTTTTACAGTACAGTACTTACGTGTACTTAGTGTACTTACCTAGAAAGTACTGGCTAATATAAGGTAAGTACATGGGTTAGGGGTAGGTTCAGGGTTAGTACCTAGTTATTACCCAGTAATTATAATTACTATAATAAGTACATAGTAAGTACATGGGTAACAGGACTGTAAAAGGAGGCATTACCCAATAGTCATTATTTTGGTTTTCTTCGTTTTTGATGTCGCAATACATCATACTTTCATGAAATCATGCAACATACTCTACCTTGTCTGTGGACATCGTTAATTCCAAAGCCGGTGCTGGATAAACAACGAGCGTGCGTGCGACAGTAGGCTGCGGTAGGCTAAATTATTTACGACAGCGGTAATGGACAATTCCTCTTCCAACCTGTAGGGCGACAGCAGAGGAAAAGTTACTTGGTGTTGCTTTAAGGCATCAATGCACTGTATCTATCACAGAGATTGGACTGCAAAAAAGTAGTTTTCTTGATCGTAATGTTTGATTTGTTTTCATTTCTAAAAACAAGAAAGAAAGAAATAAAGATAACAATAATGATCTTTTGCAGAGTGAAAAAAGTAATGCAAAGGAAATGTTGGTTATACATATACTTGTATTTTATTTAATACTGCAAAGTTGTGATAAAAATGGCTCCAAATTGACTATTTTACCCAAAAGTTTTGTATTGTTAGAGTACTGAAGTGTTCTGAAGTTATTGAATTTTGTGTGTGTGTTTGTATAAATGTAGCAGTTCAGAAGCAGGTAATAGCGGAACCAGCCAGCAAGGCACATAGTGCTAACGGGAAGCTTAAACTGAGGGGAAAAGTCTGTGGACAGTGTGAAGTTCAACTGGCCGGACTGGTGAGTTTTCATCCGTTCTGTTATGTGAACCATTTTTAATCCCAAGCTATTCAACCCCTTCATTCATCATGCATCATGTCTCAGAAGGTCTTTTTCCTCACCAAAGCTACATTTATTTAATCAAAAAATGTTGTGAAATATATATATATATATTTTTAAATAACTGTTTATATATATATATATATATATATTTATATATATATATTTTTTTTAAATGTAATTTATTCCTGTGATGGTAAAGCTGTATTTTCAGCAGCCATTACTCCAGTTTTCAGCGTCACAATCTTTCAGAAATCATTCTTATATGCTGATTTGCTTGATGTTTACAAGGTTCATGAAGATTCATCTTTAAAAGACATTCAATAGCCTAGTTCTATTTGAGCCACTCTGCAGCAAGATATCCTTGAGCTTCAGTTTGTCTATTAAACTAACATTATGTATTTCTGAAAGTACATCATACAGGGCTTTCTGCACAACTCCTCACAAGGACTTCAATGCCACTTCAGTTACTATTATTATTATTTTTCCCACTATTATTATTGTCTATTATTGTGGTATCATCAATTTGATCCATCCCTAGTCATACATATTGGTCAAACAGTCTTCTCGACCATAATAAGCTAAAGCTTGGACCAGACTTCATACCGATAGTCATGGCTCTGCAAGACTAAAGTGCATGACACAAAGGTTTGTTCACACTTTCTCTGAGCCATGACTGGCAGCAGTAGATTGAACTGCTCCCAAATACAGTGCTGCAAATATATTCCTACTCATCCAACATGACTTCTTAGCAAGGAAGACATGAACTGCAGATTCTATAGTCCCAAAGCTCTCTTAAAAATCAGTTTGGGGAGAATGCCACTGCTGTCCTGCACTGTGCTGCTGTAATTTATTTCAGCGGTGTTGTGCTGAAATGAGACCTTTTTTATGTGGCCATTAAAAGAGCTGGTAATGGGCACAGCTGTAGATTCACAGAGCAGCACTGTATTTACCCTTTTCTTTATTCACTGTGTGTGTGTGTGTGTGTGTGTGCTTCTGTGGCCGTATTAAAGGGGACCCAGTCACCCCTGGGAGATTTGGGACATTCATGCACTCCTCGACTGTGTGTGTGAAGGGGACTTGAGTGCTTTGAGACAGACAGTCTCTAGGGGACATGTACCTGTGGATTTTGCACACAGGCATTTGGCTGTCAAAAGACAGCAACTGTGTTAAAGAGAATGTTCAGGGTGTGCGTGTGTGTCTCAATATGTGTATTTATGGATGTGTAGAGCCAAAGCTTCCTAAGGGTTTCCTCCATGCTCACTCACACAACCCTAGAGGAACCCACAGGAACTAAAGTTGAGCTGAAAGCTGTTGTTTTGTTCAGAATGAAATGTGCTATTTACTGCCAACTGCATAGTATACACTGGATACAGTCTGCCTACTTAAAAAAAAAATAGTATGTGAAATATAGTTTCAGACATCACACTTACCGATCTGTCCTTTCACTAACTGTTTGATACATTTGACAAGCACTTGCTGATACTGTATCTAGAGGCTTTGTTTGTAGTTCTCAGTGGAAAGTAAACAAAGTAGAAATCCACAAGCAGAGTTTTATTTTTAGATTTGTTAAAGGAGCTGTATGTAAGAAATTTAGTTCAATTAATCATAAAATGGCCCTGAAATGTCACTAGACATTAAGATATCATGTACATTTCAAATACTTATATCACTGACAACAGTAGTCTGGCCAGGATATTGTCATTTAAAAAGTGCAGTTGCAGCCCTCAACTGATGTTGATGTTGTCATGTTGTGTTTTGGTCTGATGCTCCACCCTCCACCTATCTACCAATCACGAAGTCAGTAGTGTTGCGGCATCCGGGTTGCCAGCTCTGCTCTAGTTACCACAGCTGCAGCTCGTCACGTTCCTGCTGGATCCTGCAGCCGATCTGGCAACCTCGAGTCAGGGAGGAGGGGGAGGGGATACACCACTCTACAGTAATTTGACAGTGATTGCAGTACTAGTTTTGGCCACAATCTTACATACAGCTCCTTTAAATAATCTGTATATGCCCTCTCTGTATGAAGATGCAGAACTTCGGCTTGAAAGGTGCATGATAGATGAAAAGAGAACAGTTTGAGTTTAAAGTAATAAACATTTGGACACACATTACAAAGTCTACACATTTTCATGTTTCTGAATGACTAGGTATTTATTACTTTATTAACTAGTATTTAAACGGCATGTAAAAACAAAACAAACTGCTGGTCTCTTTACTTGTCAGTTGATCTCATCCTGTCTAAGAGGGTCTTAACCTAATAAAGTGCAAAACAATGGCTGAATTCTGAATAGCATAGTAACTTTATAGCTTTTCGCTATCTGGCTTATTATAGTAAGTGCTATTTTAGTATTATGTATTTCTATACTATTTTTATTAATATTTTGAATTAGCTTTTATTTTTATTTATTTTTATTTTCATTTAACTTTTGTTATGTGCTTTTGTAATTGGTACACTATTAGTTTTTTAATATTTCTAATTAGATTTAAATTTACTTCAGTTGTAGTTTTAGTTATTTTCATTTAGTTGCTAAAACAACTTTTCATATATATATATATATATATTTTGTAGTTTTTTTCATGTAATATTTTATTTTATTTCAGCATTATTTCAATTAACAAAAGTGATTTTTAATAGTTTTCATTTTAGTTAATAACAGACAATTTCATGGTGCATTCTTGTTGTTTAATGTTTCATTTTGTGTTAAACATCTTGATTAACTAGGAGGCTTTGAGTTAATTTGTTAGGCTGGTTAACACTGCATTGTGGGACAGTATTTTGCACAAGGTGTTCTGCATATACTTCACATTTTGACATATTATGTCATAGGTTAAACATTTAATGCATACAGAGTATTAACATATATGCCTACTGTGCACAGTGCTCATATACTACAGAAATATTATTCCAAACATATCCGGAGTCTGTCCCAAAAAATTCTAACTCTTCCAAGCATTATGCATCTCTTAAGCTGAAGTGCTGCATCATCATACAGAGAGGGCATGTAGACGTTCAGAGTGAATTAATCAAGACGGCATTGCTGGGAAGATTCATTTACAAGTGGCTCTTCAACTGTGGATTTGATCGACCTTCTTTTAAATTCATGTGCCGATATGCCGTCTGTCTCTCTACCCGTCTGTCCATCAAAAGGATTCTCTTATCGCCATCCGCACTCATTTACAATCGGTAACAAAATAATGAGCTCCCTTAAGATTATGTGCAACTCCCTTCTCTCCATTTTAATATTTATCATGTTGAGCAAAAAGTGTAAGATATTTAAATATATATTGCTGATAATAAAGTTTTTGGGGTAAATATACCTTGCCGTACATATCCTAGGTTTATTTAACTGTTTTTGATCTGTTTCAGATGTGTTCTGAATGCGGAGAGGATTATTGTGTGGGCTGCTTCGTCAGATTCCACCAGAAGGGGGCACTAAAGCGCCATCGCATGGTTCCCATACAGGTGAGGAGGTGTTCTGGCAACCTTCGTCCTTCCCACGCAAACACACACACACACACACACACACCTACACACGCCCGCAGCAGTGCCAGGCACAAACAACGTCACCGAGCAGATTCCATCTTCCTCCTCCATTCCGTTTCTCAAAAAAGCAGAACGCTGATCACCATTAGTGGACAATCTGCTCACTGTAACCCAACTCTGATTACACACACCTGTTCCCGGGTTAGAGAGCAGCCACACAAACACACACAGCACGAAGGACAGCTGATGTGTGTTCACACACACTCGCTCTCGTCAGCTGGAGTTTGTTTTAGAGACTTGAGCGGCCCCGTGGTGAGGTCTTTGATTGAAGCTTTTATCAGGCGGTCAATACATCCATCATCGCACCGGATCGGACCATCATTGCCAGAGGAGGGGGTGCTGTAGGGACCATTGCAGTCCTGTTAGCAAAAGACGCACAAACCTTACTTTTTCTTGAGTCTTTGCAGTCACATTCCCTGCTGAAGAAACAACATAGATTCAAAGATATTCATTTTAACCCTAGTATGTGTTTTTATTAACAAAAAAAAAAAGAAAAAAAAAAAAGTCAAAGATAAATTTTTATGTCGACTTGACTGCCTTCTTTGGGAAGAAAATATTTGAATCTAGAAAGTTTCATTATGTCTTACCGACATACATATTGTAGATTTATTAATGAGGGTGGAATAATTTATTTGTTGAATTTTTGTTGGATTTCTTTGAATTGCAATTTTGAAAATTCCTCTTTCTGTCATTCCAGTTCAAACCCCAATTCAACTTCCTCTGTGGCCAATTCAATTCAAATTCACGTTAAAAAAATATAAAGAGATTCGTTAGTGTGAATTGGCCTGCGACCCTTCAGAGGATAAGTGGTTTTGAGAATGGATGGGTGAATTTAAAGCTGGGGGTCGAGCAAGGATGTCTCTCTGGAAAAGTTAGATAAGTGTTTAACTAAAAAATTTCTGAAGAAAATGCAAGTAGTATTTGCATGTTGTCACAGCCACTCAATCTTAGTTTCATTTTCATGGACTTTTAGTCATTTTCAGTCACATGTGTTCCTTTGTTCAGTTTTCCGGCCACTTACCAGTTGTCATGGTGATTAATTTGATCTGCACAGGTGTTTGTCTCCCTCATTTACATTGTATATAGGTTGCAATCTTTTCAGTCCTCAGTTTTCTGGTATTGTTTGTGTTTAGACCTTCTGTTACGCTGCCTTCTCACATTTGGATTACCTGAGTTTGTTTTATTAAAGAACCTTTTGTTTGTAGAGACCTGTTTGAACCTTTTTCATTATCTTCATCTGAACCAAACCGTGTCAGATGTGCAAAAGTCATCACCATGATGCTAAGGTGTTTTTGAGTGGTTGCCAGAAAATTGCTATGCAGTTGCTAAGGTGGTTGTAGTGTGTTGCTATAGGGTTTTACTCGGTGATTTAAAGACATCTGAGGTTGCTAGGGTGTTCTATGACTATAAATCTATTCGATTTTTGCCCAATTTGCACTTTGCAGTCTGGATGAATCTACAATAGTTGCTGAAAGTCTGTGTCAGTCTGAAGATTTTGAGCTGTCAGAGTTGAAAGATTTCACAGAAAATCAACCATTTTCTCTCTGTAACCAATTACAAAGTTGTATGATGCCTAGTGTTTTAAAATATGTTCATATTTTAAAAGTCTTGTAGTGTATTCCAGCCTAAATGAAAAAAAAAAAATCCATCTTCAAACCTTTGTGATCTTCTGGTCTCAGTCCCTTCTTCGCTATATATATACACTACCGTTCAAAAGTTTGGGGTCGGTACGATTTTAAATACTTTTAAAAGAATTCTCTTCTGCTAACCATGGCTGCGCTTAATTGATTAAAAATACAGCAAAAATCAGTTATAGTATTAAATATTATTCCAGTGTAAATCAGCTGTTTTCTGTGTGAATATATAGTAAAGTGTAATTTATTCCTGTGTCCAAAGCTGAATTTTCAGCATCACCAGTGTCAGTGTCTTCAGTGTCAAATGATCCTTCACAAATCAGTATAATATGAGGATTTGATGCTCAAGAAACATTTATTATTATTATCAATGTTGAAACAGTTGTTGGTCTGTCAGTTGTACAGTTTATTTTTTATTTTTTTAGGATTCTTTGATGAATAGGAAGTTCAAAAGAACAGCATTTGTTTGAAATAGAATCTTTTGTAACATTATAAATGTATTTACTGTCCTTGATAAATAAAAGTATTGATTTCTTTCCTCCAAAAAATAAAAATAAAATTCTCACTGACCCCAAACTTTTGAACGGTAGTGTATATAAAAGTGAATTCACTGAAAAAATAGTAACTGCACATATCTTCTCAAAATGCCACATAATTTGAGGTTTCGTCCAGGACGGGTTACTACTTTTTAATACTGGGTTTCAAAATGAGCAATAGATGCTTGCCTTAGTAAACACTACTAATAAATAGCATAATAATACTTTCTCTATTTCTTCATTTTTCTTTGTACCCATTAAATTAACTGTGTATGTAAAAATAACTGTGCTCATTAAATTACCTTTAGGCTTTATGTGATTTTACTATAATAGTATCACTCCGAACTACAGTTACTTAATTGGTAATGAATTGAAGGTTGACATTAATTACGCTAACTTCTGTGTACAAAACTATGTATAACTGTAATTAGTACATTTCTTTCAAGAAAAGAAGACCAACAAACACTATACTGGTCAAAAGTTTGGAATCATTAAGATTTGTTTTAAATCTTTTTATAAGCAGTTTCTTATGCTCACCAATGCTGCATTTATTTGATAAAAAATACAGTAAAATTGTGAAATATTATTACAGTATGAAATAGAAATAATGAATCGTACAATAGACATATTTTGTTACATTATAAATGTCTTTATAATAATGTTATATTAACATTATAAATTGATTAATTCTGAATTAAAAGTATTCTTGCTGAAAAATAATTGTTCTGAATTATCAGGGTGTATCAGGGTTTCCACAAAAAATATTAAGCTGCAAAAACTGTTTTCAACATTGATAATAATAATAATAATAATAATAATAATAAAAAAATCTTGAACACTAAATTAGCATATTAGAATAATGTCTGAAGGATCATGTGATACTGAAGACTGGAGTAATGATGCTGAAAATTCAGCATTTCAATTCAGCATTTCCATCACAGGAATGAATTAAATTTTTACATATATTCAGATAGAAAACAGTTATTTTAAATTGTAATAATATTTCATAATATAAATTTTACTGTACTTTTGGTCAAATTAATGTAGCCTTGGTGAGCATAAGAGACTTCTTTCAAAAACATTTTAAAAATCGAACCGACCTCAAACCATTTGAACTATACTGTATACTTTCTCAAACCAAGCAGTCGAATAAACAGTAGTAGGTTTCTGATTGTTAGCTGTGCATTTATATAGAAATATCCATTATTAATCATTCAAGGTGCAGTTTAACTTGAACCACTGAGTCATTCAGACTGTATTGAGTTTACTGGGAGAAATCATCTCATTATGGCCTCCATTTCAAGTTAAGCACTAACCCCAGGGATACATAAAACATATACCTCACAATGAGCACATGACCAAAAGCACTCCACATAAGCGTATACATATGTATAGCAGGGATGGAAATTAACTTTTTTGTCCACCGGCCACTGTGGCTGGTGGATTTCAAAATCTACCAGCCACTTTCTTGTTTTTAATTAACCGACAATGTGTAACTGCATGTGAAAATGAATACTACAAGAATACTTAAGCAGTTTATTTAATCTCAAGTCTCAATGAAATACTGACATTTTCTCTTTCCCTCACCCTCGGCCTCATCCACCTAATCTGTCATTTATTTTTGTTTTGATGATAATTTGAGCCAGCCTCCAAAAGTAATTAACCTGTCCTGTGATTTTTTTTTTCTCTCACACAACACTCTCCAGACACGGATTTATGAGCTATAGTATGTTGGTTGCCTTTACATTAGAATAATATTTAATATAATCTAGATATGAAATGGAATAAATAGCATTCAATACAAAATGAATATGTCTCATATATTGAAATCAAGTTTTATGTGATAAAATATTTGCTTTGTTGTGCATTAGAACCACATCAGGCATTTAGTACAAAATAATTTATTGAAGCATCCAGATACTTCACCACGTGACAGCAGCTAGGCTCCTGATTGGTTAACGCGGCGCGAATTGACGCCAAAGTTAAAATTTTTCAACTCGGGCGGCAGACGCGAATTCGCGTCAAACGCGTGAATGCACAAAAGCACTCAATAAAATCATGCGCGCGGAACGCGTCAGACGCTCGAACTTGCCGCGCGAATGAGGCGTATTCGCATCTACCACGGCGCGCTCTACACCTCATTCGCGCCGTAGGAATTTTTTACGCGCGTAACGCGTCTTTGCATTGACTTAACAATGAAATCACTCGCGCCAGACGCTCTATTCTCGTCTGGTGTGAACGCACCATGATGTTTTCTCTGCAGACCTCTACGCCTGCGATGTAACGCCACATTTTTGTTTGAAGGTGTGCCTCCTCTAAAAGTGTCCGCCGGCCGGGTGAAACAGTATGCTATTTTTATTTACCCGCCTCGGTGGCCGGTAGGTGAAGCGAGTTTACCCGCCACAACACAAAATCACCCGCATTTGGCTGGTGGCGGGTGCTAATTTCCATCCGTGATGTATAGACATCATTATGCATGTGTCAGTGTTGTTTGGAGCATGCGAGTTGCTCCAATTTTTGCATATAGCAGGTATGCTGGCAATGTGTGGTGATTGGCTCTTCCTGGAAGAGGATGACCTTGAGCGACCCACATAAGCCCACATGGATGTTTACATCCAGCCATGCAGCATTAGGCAGCACATGTGCACCGCCAACCTTCCTTCTGCCCTGCGTGAAGCTCACTCTGCACTGCCGCATGCTAGAAGACGTTAAAGTAGTTACACAGACACAAGCAAACAAGTCCAGATGGAGGAGAAACAGAAGAACCCATAGGCTCTATTCATAAACCGAGTGAGTTGCCTGTTATTTATGTAGATTTACATTATCCAAAGCGACTTACATTTCATTGAAGGCTTACATTTTATTACTTCATGCTTTCCCTTGGAATCCAACCCATGACCTTGGTGATGCTAGCACCATGCTCTACTGTTTGAGCTACAGGGATATACAGTGCTGTTAAAGAAGGTTGACTGAGCGAAGGAGAGAGAAAATCAGAGAAAGAGAGAGCAGTCACAACTTTGTGCTCTCTTGGCATGAAACAGAGAATTGTATTTAACTACACATCGGCTCTAATGCAGCTTTATGCGTCCTAATCCTGTTTAATTTGCTTCCATGGGGGGAAAATGAGAACAAATATTAATATTTTCATCCTCGGGTTTGTTCTTTGCCTTCTTGGTTCGTCTTCGTCTGTCTTTGACATAGGCGTTTCCCCATCTGCTTTTGATTCATTCTCTTTTATCTCTGTTTTCAAGTTACACTCACTTCTTCCCCTATTAATAGTTTCTGATTGCTTGCTATCGTCTGCAAACGTAAACTATCGATATGCAGAGATAAACTAATTAATTTGCTAATGTTTACTCAAGTGCATAATATAAATGTATTCACAAGACAGTCAAGGTCTTATCTGATGTGGTAAGAGAAAGCATTATTTAGCAGCCCTGACCACCATAATGGCCACTAACAATGTTATCTTAAGGACATGATGTCATAAAGAGGAATTAGTCGACTGGCTAGCGGTTATTGGGTTAATTACGTGATTTAATCAAGCTTTTTTTCTGTGCTATTATTCATTTGCACATTTTACAGAGATATTTGATAATGTTTGCAATAATCAGTGCTAATAAAAACTGCTAATACCTGGTGTGAATGTGATAAACTTCTGACCAAGATACCTGTAGGTGTTAGGTTTTCTTGTTGAAAGCTTGAAAGCATGAAAATCAATGTGAATTTCTTTTTGGAACCCATTTTACTTCTGTAATATGACTTATTTCAAGACTTCCATTGTAAGTGCATTATCGTTAGCATGATTGTTGGTTGTTTCTTCGAACTGATAGATGAAATTTCCATTGGAACCGACAGCATGCCACAGATGCTGTCTATAAAGCTTGTTTTAAATGCAGGATATCCATTTAATGATTTGGATGAATGCTTTACCTATAGAGGGTGTGCATTCATTCGGTTGCATCAGTACATTAGCCGAGTCATTAACAGGATGCATTTGTGCACTTTGAATTAAAGGTCTATTTGAAATCTATGTTTCATCCTCCAGGCAGAGCTCCAGACCCCCGTCAGCACTCGGGATGTGTTGGGTCGCCTCCAGCAGCAGGTAAGCGCTGAGGAGAGTCAAATTGAACGAGGTGCATCCTCCAATTCCACTGATGAAAGAGAAGACACAGAGGAAAGATCAACTCCTAGGCCCATGTCTGATAACCAAATACACCACACACAGGTGAGTCACTGATTGTTTTGGATGGTAGATCAAATTTATAAACAAATTTATAAATGTAGCTTCTTTAGGTCAAATATGGTTAAAAATGAATAATGCTTTAAATAGGTCTTCATAAAGTACATTGTAACTAGAGGTTGTACGACTACTGATTTCTGCTAGTCGATTTCTTATCAAAACAATACTCGAGTTACTCGACTACTCGTGGTTCATGCTACTGTAAATGAAAAGACATGAAATAGTTCTTATCAATAAATGTTTATTAATTCATAGCCTAAAGCCCCGTTCACACTACACGCGACTTTGTCGCTGCAAGTCGCCAGTCGCTGGCGATGAGGTCGCTAGTGGGCGTTCCCACTACTGGTTGACTAGTATGACATCCAAAAGACAGCGAATCAGCTTTCTTGCCGCTAAAAAACACAATTCTGGAGGGAAAATACTAAATATAAATATACTCCGTACATAAAAACGTCTGTAGTGAAGCATGAAGATGAACGAGACACAGAAGTCGATTTTTCTCGTTGCGGCCGTTTATCTACGGCATAAGCGCAAACGCCGGTCTATCTGGGTTCACGAGACCATTCGGGCTTGGAGACAGCACGGCGAGTACCACCGGCTGGTGCAGGAACTGCGGCTGGATGAAGTCCGGTTCCAGCAGTACTTCAGGGGCTGAGGAGAGGGATCACGTGCGCTCCACTCCTATTGGTTGTCGCTCGCGAAAATCGCTCTTCATTTGCATAAAGTGAAAAATTTCTCAACTTTGTCGCGTCGCCAGACACGCCCCATCTAGTCGCCACTGGTCGCTGTCGCGCGTGTCGCCGGATGTCGCCCGCTCACCATTGAAATGAATGGTATCGCGTCGCGTGTAGTGTGAACGGGGCTTAATGCAGACCTGCCAACCCGTACGCATTTTGTGTAGCGGATACGCATTTTGACCTCAAAGTACGCTGGTACGATTTGTCACTCTAAACTACGCAAAAACCTGGTGACGCCTCTGTGCACGCGCAGTCCTCAAATCAAGCAACAGCAAAATAAGCGGAGATCGACCAATCATAGCGCTGGGTTCATTCCCCAAATAGCAAGCGGGTATGATTGACAGATGCTTAAGGCCTATCTTTAAAAAGAGACTGAAAATCGACAGCAATAAAGAATCCCGCTCGATCCCGCTTCCACTCCCGCGGCGCGCCGTCTGACTGAGTTCATAAGAGAGGACAGTAGTCACAGTACTTCTGACTCCTGAAGGTAAACGGGCTGGGGTGGATGTGGAAAGTCGAAATATTGTTTTTAGTTAACTTAATCTGGATTCGATGATCACACGTGAGTGATCGCAATCGCATGGGTTATCTTAAAATACTCCGTCATTCATGGTCACTCAGATAAGGGGAAAACATCATTCAGCCATGCAAATTATAAAATGCTTAAGTAATACTGAACAATAAATCGCTATGGCTTAGTGATTATAAAAGTTCTGTGATTTGTGGATTGCTGAAGCACGAGTCTGGAGAAACAGGCGTTTATTTATTAATTCTCAGTGTTGAGAAACGTAGCCTGCATGTGTTACGTTATTGTGTTAAAAATAACTAAAGTACCTAATTAAAGCATTATAATTATGACATTACATATTTTAATTTTCATGTAACAGAGTAAAGCAAAACAAATAGCTGTTCTTGACTTTCATTACTGACGCAATATCCGCTTTTAGGGGCCGTTCACATATCGCTTCTTTTGCGCGCTCAAGTTTGTTATTTCAAATATAGCATGCTCATAATGGAAGCGGCACGCTCGTTTTTCCAGGCGCGCCTATGCCTCTGCGAGATGAAAACATCTCAACTTTTCAGAATGCTCTCTAGCTTCTGGCCAAAAAATCCTTCGATGACGCAAAATGACGATTTTTGCGTCATCGGAGGATTTTTTCCAGACAAAAAATACATAAATCTCTCGTATCAGAGGGATATGAGGGTGGAAAGCATGGTAATTTGAAAATACTACAGGTTTTCTACTAATACAAAGCTTAATGCTAAATCCTGAAGTATCCCTTTAATATTAATTTCAACATTTACTAATACAATATTAAAATCAAAAGTTGTATTTGTTAACAATAGTTAATACACTGTAAACTAACATGAACAAACAATGAACAGCTGTATTTTTAATAACTAACATTAACAAATATTAATAAATACTGTAACACATGTATTGTTCATTGTTAGTTCATGTTAGTTAATACATTATCTAATGTTAACAAATGAACCTTATTGTAAAGTGTTACCCAATTATTCATTATAGCTTTATTGATAAGTTTTTGTTGGGTGGAAGGAAGTGGACGTTTGAACAAGAACCCGCTCTCAACTTTCTGTACAGTGTGGAAACTTGGCCATGTTCTCCATTTAATTTAGTTTCCTTTTCTCACTCTCTCTGTCACTCTCATTGTGTTCTCTGTCTCGCCTCAGGTGTTGTTTGTGAATGACGGTGTTGACCTGGAGGATGAGGAGGCTGGTGAGGAAGAGGACAGCTCTCTGCTGAGAGGATGCTTTGATGAAGAAAAGTCAGCCAGGTCCTTCCAGGAGGCTCTGAAAGAGTGGAGAGAGAAAGGGCAGAGACCAGGTAACGCGCACACACACGCTCGCACACACACGCTCGCACACACACGCTCACACACACAGCTGTGTTTTTTGTGATATATGAGGACATTCCATAGGCGTAATGACTTTCATACTGGACAAATTGTATATTCTATCCCCCTACACTGCCCCTATCCCTAAACCTACCCATCACAGGAGACATGCTGCATTTTTACATTTAAAAAAAAACATTGTTTTTTATGTTTTTTAAGCTATTTGAAATATGAGGACTCGTGCAATGTCCTCATATATCACGTGTAAGTTGTAATACCAGTGTAATATGCATGTCATTATACACATTTGTGTCCTCATATATCACAAAAACAAAAAAGCACACACACACACACGCTCACTCACACACACACCCTCGCTCGCACGCACACACACACACACACACACACACACACACACACACACACACACACACACACACACACACACACACACACACACACGCGCACATCTAAGTCTGTGCAGAAAAGCTACAGTCAAACCACAGTAATAAAGTGACATACTGTCAGGTTTGTGTGAGCAGCCACGCATATTCTGTGGCAGGCTGTCAGAACACACAGAAACAGTCTCTCATAAAGCACACTCATGTGTGGCATTGACTGAAATAACGCACCGCACGAGTGTGACAGGGCCACTGATTGGTTGCCAGTTAACTACATACAGTATATGCATGACAAACATGTGCTATGTGACGGTGCGTGTGTGCTTCCAGATGCTGTGTACAGTTTGCAGAATTCCGTGATTTGACAACTTATGATGCAATGTGTTTTTCAGAAATTATCAGCAGAAACTTGAATGACGATGCCAGGTCACAGGAATTTAGTATGTTAGCGATATTAGTCAAGAACCATTGGATGCAGAGGAGGTTCCCCTTCAGTCGCTCACGTTCGACGTGACGTCGACGTGACGACGTTAGGGGATCACTTCAGGGAGCCCTATCAACTTCGAGTATCTAAGAACAAGCCAATGAACGTTGGCGTGCGTGAACGCGTCACGCGCCCCCGCCCCGCAGCGCGGGTATAAAACAGGAAGCGGGCGCGAGCACCCACCGTCTTTCATTTCGGAGCGCGAGTTTCCTGTGACTGATGTCTAAGATTCAACGCCTTTGAAGACTTCAAGGAAGATCTCTCTGTTCCAGTGTTGGTGTGACGGCGCGATCAGCGGTGGCCGCGAGCAGTGCAGCTCTCAACTGCTGTTCTCACAGCACTATTGTTTGTGTGTGTGTGTGTGTGTGTCCACACAGTGGCTACCCCTGGGCGCCTCAGCACTGTGAGAGCAATTTCCTTTTTTTATTTTACTAAAAGAGCAACACAAGCGGACCCTGCGTCTTTTTCAAGATGTCATTCCGCTTGTGCGTTTCTGGATGCAGTCGTTCCCTGGCGCCAGCAGATGGCCACAATAGCTGCATCTCGTGTTTGGGCGTTCGGCACGCTGAAGCAGCTTTTGTGGATAGCTCATGTTCCCATTGCGGGAATATGACTATCACAGCACTTAGATCGAGACTCGCTTACCTCAAGGGAGGTGCAGTCCCCTCGCCTATGCCCCGATCTAGTGCTTATTCTGCCCCGCAGAATAGGCCTACTTCGGCGCATGACCAGGGTGATCTGAGGATTACCGTGAAGGCTTCCCCGCCGAGGCAATCCCCGCGGGCCCCTCATGCCTCTCATGTGCTGTTGCCATCGGCGCCCCTTGGCGAACGGCTCGGTCCTTCTCCGGAACGACCAGTCGTTTCCTTTGGGGCACCAGCTGACGATCAGATGTCGATCGCAGCATCGGAGGGGGAGCGGTCATCTGGAGATGACGACTCGGCTGCGTTGCCCCCTTCGGGGTGTGTAGCGTTGTCCGAGCCGGATCCAGAATGGGCCGCTATGCTCTCCCGGGCCGCCGAGAAGGTCGGGCTTGCGTGGAATCCTCCACCACATCCCGAACCTTCTCGGCTGGACGATTGGTTTCTCGGGGCGGGCCGTGCTGGTTCTCAGTGCGCCGCCCCGGTACCTTTCTTTCCGGAGGTGCATGAGGAGCTTTCTAGGACGTGGAAGGCACCGTATAGTGCCCGAAGCCGTCCTAGTGGCTCCTCTCCCCTCGCCACCCTCGACGGCGGGGCAGCTAAGGGGTATGTGGGGATCCCCCAGTGGAGCGGGCTGTCGCGATGCAGTTGTGTCCGGCATCCGCCTCCTCCTGGCGGGGTGACCCACGCCTCCCGTCCAAGGCCTGTAAGTTCTCGTCCGGTCTAACGGCGAGGGCTTACAAGGCCTGTGGACAGGCTGCTTCCGCTCTTCATGCCATGGTGCTCTTGCAGGTCCACCAGGCCCAGGCGCTCATGGACATGAACGAGGGTGGTTCTGACCCAGAGCTCCTCCGGGAGCTCCGTGTGGCAACCGACCTCGCCCTCCGGGCGACGAAGGAAACCGCACGTTCAGTCGGTCAGGCGATGTCAACCTTGGTGGTCCAGGAGCGCCACCTTTGGCTCAACCTGGCGGACATGAGGGACACCGATAAGTACCGGTTCCTGGATGCCCTTCTCTCCCAGGTTGGGTTGTTCGGCGACGTGGTCGAGAGCTTTGCCCAGCAGTTCTCGGCCGCACAGAAGCAGACGGAGGCCATCCGACACATCCTGCCCCGGCGGACCGCTGCTGCTCCCACCCGCCCGCCGGCCGCAGCTCCTCCGTCTACTCGTCGCCGAGGTCGGCCTCCTGCGGCGTCCTCCGCTCCCGCTGAGCCCCAGCAGCAGCCATCATCCAGGCCTCGGCGTGGAGCAAGCCGCAGGAAGTCGACCCCGCCCGTCCAGGCCGCTGCCAAGCCAGGAGGCAAGCGCCGGTGCAAACGTCCCTGAGACGGGCGGCCCAGAGGTGGATCAAGTTGCTCTTCAGGAGATGGCGGACGTGCCACTCCTTCCCCCGGTGGAGGGCCGGGTGGAGAATCCTTTGTTTCCTTTTCTTTTTGTTCCTTTCTTTGAAAAGGTTCCCACCTTTTCAAAGAAAGAGCAATTTCTGAAACCTCTGGGCCCCAAGAGGGCGCGCTTGGCAGTCGACGACGCTATGCCTTGTCACTCCCGAGCCCCTCTTCCATCGCCAGCCGGCAGCAGTGGCTGTGTCCTGGACGCACTGTCGCCTCTGCACACTCACTCTGCCCTCCGGCGGAAGCAGGTACGTCTCGCACCACACGTTCAGACCCCACTCCGGGCCGCTATGCCGCCCGAGTCGGGTCCCTGCATTCCGTCACGCTGCCCCACTCCGGGTACGTCTGTGGTGCCGTTGGTCCCGCTTGCTCGGTCTCTGGGAGCTTGGCTAACGCTTCCCAGTCCGTCTCGCTGGCTCATCCGTACTGTCAGACTCGGCTATGCGATTCAGTTCGCCCGGCGCCCCCCTGTTTTCAGGGGCATCCTGTTCACCCGTGTTCTGGCGGACAGTGCCCCTGTTCTCAGAGCGGAGATTGCAGTCCTAATGGCGAAGGAGGATATGAAGACCGGCTTCTACAGCCCGTACTTCATTGTACCCAAGAAAGGAGGTGGGTTACGGCCAATCTTGGACCTGCGCGTCCTGAATCGGTCCCTTCACAGGCTACCATTCAAGATGCTTATGCAGAAACGCATTTTCAAATGCATCCGTCCCCAAGATTGGTTTGCAGCGATCGACCTGAAGGACGCGTACTTTCATGTCTCGATTCTCCCTCGACACAGACCGTTTCTTCGCTTTGCGTTCGAGGGACGGGCATATCAGTACAAAGTCTTACCCTTCGGGCTGGCCCTGTTGCCCCGCGTCTTCACGAAAGTTGCGGAGGCGGCCATTGCTCCCATGTGCGAGCGTGGTGTTCGCATTCTCAACTATCTCGACGACTGGCTTATTCTCGCCCAGTCGAGAGAGCAGTTGTGCGAACACAGGGATTTGGTGCTCAGTCACCTCAGCCACCTAGGGTTTCGGGTCAACTGGGAGAAGAGCAAACTCACCCCCTGGCAGAGGATCTCTTTTTAGGCTAGTGACAAATGGTCAAAAAGTGCTTTAGTTTTTGAGATACCCCTACCGGAGGTAGAACTAAACGCAACAATGTTTGTCCTCATCTCTAAGGTCTCCCATATATGAAATGGATTCTTGGCTAAAAATATTTTACTGCTAAGATTGTTAAATTAACAGATATTGTTATACACCCCAAAACCAAAAAAGGACTAAAATATAGCCTGTCCGTATGGGAGTTAAGGTATATAAACTAGTGCAGATCAATCACACAAGCTCTGAGAGCTTTAAAACTTGACATGTTTGTAGTCAGGAAGTTGCTTTAACTACTAGAAAAGACTGGATGTGAATATCTTGATGTATGGAATAAATAGAGACATATAAACACATACCTAAAATAAGCGGACATGCACGAATTTAATATTTATGCAGAATATTTTCATTTACTTTATGGTTGCTTTGCCAGGGATTATCATAGAAAGACATATGATGGCTTGTTGGAAAGGTGGGGTTGTGCTGAATCCAGCAATACCAAGTATGTAAATATAGCATGACAAATCAGGGTGTTCTGTCACTCAATGCATGAGGTGTCTAAAATGAAAGAAAATGGAACACTGACAAAATAGTCTCAAGTCCAAATCACATTATCAGTGGTGAGAAGAATGTTGACAAATTCATTGTTACTGCAAAGTAAGTTACAAAAGGTAAGTGCTGATCTGTATTTATGATACATTTAATAATGATACATTTCATAAGGCACAGTATACTTTACAGTATACTTTACAATTCATATGAAACACAGATCCAATTGAATCAGGTTAACATTGGAATGGAACACCTTTTATTAAAATATGTATATCCACTTGAATTTTGTTATGGTCAAGTCATTACTGAATAATGGAAAATGATATTGTTAGCTTTTGTCTGTCCAGACCAGCAGGGGGCAGTAGAGCCTACACTGCTTACTTCACCCCATTGGTGTGATCTTTGATTAGATAAGAATAAGATATTTTTCATTTGA